TTATATTAAAAGTGGAGAAAATATCAATAAATAATTGAAAGTAAAGTATCTCAAGTTAAATAGGTTAGTTAAATTGAAACTATGTTTTTTCTGATAAAAAGGTGGTGAAAAAAGGATAAAAATGCAAAATATATTTGAATATTGCTAATCTTGAAATTAAAATATCACCAACTATGTCGTCAATACAGATGGTGATATTTCATTTAATTTTATAATTTTAATCTCTTTTTGTTCTTTTTATATTTTATTTGTATTTATCATTATGTTTTTATCAAATCTTAATAAATTCTTGATATTATTTAATTGACTAAAGGATATCTTAGAATAAATAATTTTGACTTATTATTAAATTTTACATATTTTATGTTTCTTTTTATTATATATACAAGAATTAAAAAATTTTATTTATTCATATTTTCAAAGTATTAAAATTTTTTTTACCGAAATATTAATATTTTAAATAATTAAATACATTAAAAAATATTTGAGAAAACACTATATATTTTATATTTAATAATGGTGCAATTTGTCTTTACAAGCTAATCTCTGGAATAAATACACCACATCACAAAGTTATTCACTTCTTTATTGAAATAAATAAATTCTAAAAATTTATTGATTATAAAAATTTTTAATAAATATCCAAATTTAAAATACATAGATTATTTATGTTTAAGAAAATTTATCTTAATTAATATAAAAATGAATAATCTATTTATTAAAAATTTATTTAAATAGGTATAAAAGTGTTTATTAAATACATTACAACCTCTACTTAAAGAACATATTCTTGCAAAAGTACTAATTTAATTCGAGAAAAAGTAGATATATTGTGAATATTATCATATTAATTTATATTCACCACATTATTTGACTAAAACAGATAAATCTAATATATTAAAATTATTTTATCAAAATTTAACTATAATTAATAGAATTTTATCAACATATGACTACTAACTAACTAACTCATTTTTGATTCTATTATTTTTCGAGTATAAGTGTTTAATAGAAATATTAAGAATTAACAATTTTTATTATATTGATTTCTCTTCCTCAAAGCAAATTCATAAATCTTTATTTGCAAATTATTATAATTTATTTGTTCTTTTAACCCAAATTAATTTGATATAAATTAAATTAATTTATTAATATACTTATAATTAATTAAATTACCATAAATTGATATTCTATACTTTTGAAGAAAAAAAAATGATATAAGAGGAAAAATATTTTAACAATCTAAAAAAAGTAAATATTTATTCAATTTATTAACATTGTTAAGTTTTTTTATTAATAAAATAAGTTTTTAGACTCTTCACTTTAATCGCATTAGATTCTTAATATTGATCTGAGGTATATTTAAATTATTTTTATTATTATTAATATTTTTTTACAAGAAATTTTCAAGTAATTTAAAATATTACTTTTCTTATATAAGTTGTCTCAGAATGTTAGAGGCATTTTTAGATCAGCAGGTAGAAAAATACCTTCTACGCTGCTAATTTTTCGCCTTCCTAGTATTTTATTTGGAGGGCTACATTTTCAGTCTTATTTAACAAATTTTTATTAATTTTAAAATTTCCCCTTTAATCTTTTTAAAAAAATAAACCCCTTTAAATGCAATTTTCCCTCTTTAAATTTAAATTTATTATGTTCGTTGAAATTGTTTTCAAATAAGGAAAATGCGATAAACCCCTTTTTAAAATAATGTTAAAGTGAAAAAAATCACTTTTTTAAATTAAAAAGATAAGAAAAATATCAATAATAGTACACACACAAAATAATCATATGATTAAAATTTTTCTTTATCAAAAAATAAATTAACTGTAAAATTATTTGATTAAAGCTTAATACATTAAATTCAATTATTTACTATAAATTTTTATTCAAAATAAAGTAGTTAAATAAACATAATTTAATAAAACTTAAATATTTGTTTATTAATTTGAATAACTATACAATAAAATAATAACAAATTTATAATGAAATAAAATGTAGTGGCTCATTTTTTCTTTCTACTGATCTAAAAATGCTCAGATCATAAATTATCTTGCCTGTCTCCATATTTATTCAATTTTTATAAATATTTTTTAATTATTTTAACTTAATTCTCATACAATTTTTATTATTAATTATTTATTTTTTTTTATTTGATATTTTTTCTTCTTACTAATTAATTAGCTCATTCATTATTTTTTCTTCAAATTAAATAGTTAAAATTATATTGGTGACAAAGGTGAATCAGGCTTAGGTTCTGCTTTAACAAAGTGTAATATCCTCTCAAATTTGACACTTTAATTAGGGTAAAAATACTTTATTTGTTTTGAATTGTGATAATTTTGAATATAATAATGAATTCAAACAATAAAAATCTTTTAATTTATTTATTAGCATTTATTTGACTTATTTTTCTTTATTTTTTATTCTGCATATTTGCTTTTATTATTTATTTATTTGTTTCATATTATTTCATATTTTTTCCTTCTAACTAACTAATTAACAATATATTGTTTCTTCAATATTTAAAAAGGGCTAATTAAATTAGTGATGTAGGTGCATCAGGATTAGGTTCTGATTTAGGAAAGTGCACTAATCTCTCAAATTTGGTACTTTATCTTAAGTAAAAACAGTTTATTTGTTTTGGAATGTGTGATATTTTTAATATAAAAATTAATTTAAAATAATTTAATTAACTAACTCTTTTAAGTTATTTAATTATAAGCTTTTCATTTGATTTATTTTTATTTATTTCTTTGTATTGTTACTAATTTAACTCATTTATTTTTTCATGTTCAACTTTGGATTTTATTATTATTTAATGAATTAATTTATTATTATTTCATATTTTTTCTTCATTTTTTCCTTCTAACTTACTAATTAACTCTTTATTTTTTCTTCAATATTTTAAAAGTTCTAATTAAATTGGTGCAATTGGTGTATCAAATTTAGGTTCTGGTCTAACAAAATGCACAAATCTCACAAATTTGACTCTTTATCTATGGTAAAAACAGTTTATTTGTTATGGATTGTGTTATTTTTGAATATAAAAATGAATTTAAAATAAGATAACTAACTCTTATAATTTATTTATTAGCTTTTTATTTGATTTATTTTTCCTTTTTTTTATTCTGCTTGTTTGTGTTTTTTTCTTTTTTCTTTTTCATTTTTCAATTTTTCCTTTTATTGTTTATTATTATTATTATTAATTAATTCATTTCTTTAATTTTCTTTATTTTTCTTCTTTTTTTCCTCATAATCGTTTCTTCAATATCTAAAAAGTTACAATTATATTGGTGCATTTGGTGCATAAGATTTAGGTTCTGGTTTAGGAAAGTGCACTAATCTCTCAAATTTGACACTTCATCTCGCGTAAAAACAGTTTACTTTATTTTGATAGAGATATTTTTGAATACAAAAATGAGTTTAAGTTAATATAAATCTTTTAGTTATTTATTAGCTTTTAATTTTATTTATTTATTTTTCTTTTTTTATTATTTTGCTTGTATTTTTTTCTTTACTTCTTTGTTTTTTTGCTTGCTAATTTAACTCATTTTTCATTTTCAACTTTTGCTTGCTTTATTAATTAATTTCTTGCTATTTCATGTTTTTTCTTCATTTTTTTCTTCTTTTTTAACTAATTAACTATTTATCTTTTCCACAATATTTAAAAAGTAACAATTAAATTGGTGCAGTTGGCGCTTAAGGTTTAGTTTCTGGTTTAAGAAAGTCCACTAATCTCTCAAATTTGATACTTAATCTCACGTAAAAACAGTTTATTTGTTTTGGATTTTGATATTTTTGAATATAAAAATGAGTTTAAGTTAATATAAATCTTTTAATTTAATTATAAGCTATTTATTTGTTTTTCTTTTTTTATTCTGCTATGTTTTTTTTATTTGTTCCCCTGTTTTTTTGGTTGCTAATTTAACTCATTTTTTCATATTTACAATTTGCTATAATTATTAATTAATTTCGTTTATTTCATATTTTTTTCCTTCTAACTAACTAATTAACTATTTACTTTTTCCTCAATATTTAAAAAGTTCTAATTAAATTGGTGCAATTGGTGCATAAGGTTTAGGTTCTGGTTTAGGAAAGTGTACTAATCTCTCAAATTTGTCACTTAATCTTTCGTAAAAATAGTTTATTTGTTTTGGATTGTGATATCTTTTTTAAAAAAAATGAATTTAAAATAATATAAATCTTTTAATTTTTTTATTAGATTTATTCTTGATTTATTTTTCTTTTTTTATTCGCTTGAGTTTTTAATTTTATTTATTCATTTCTTAGTCTGTCTGTTTGCTAATTTAACTCATTTCTTCACTTTCAATTTTTGCTTTTATTATTAATTAATTAATTTCTTATTAGTTCATATCTTTTCTTCGTTTTTTCCTTTCACTAACTAACTAACTTATTTAATAAATATATATTTTTTCTTCTAAAAAGAAAAAATTAAATTGATGCAATTGGGGCATAAGTTTTAGGTTCTTGTTTAGAAAAGTGCACTAATATTTCAAATTTGACACTTGATCTTTAGTAAAAACAGTTTATTTGTTAGGATAGTTATATTTTTTAATATAAAATGGATTTATTCATTTCTTATTTTTTCATATTTTTTCTTAATTTTTTTCTTTTAACAAACAAGTTAACTCTTTATTTTTTCTTAAATATTTAAAAAGGGAAAATTAAATTGGTGCAATTGGTGCATAAAGTTTAGGTTCTGTTTTAAGAAAAAACACTAATCTCTTAAATTTGGCACTTAATCTTTCGTAAAAATAGTTTATTCGTTTTGAATTGCGATATTTTTTAATATATAATGAATTTTAAACAATAAAACTATCTCACTAACTAGCTCTTTTAAATAATTTTTTCGACTTTTATTTGATTTATTTTTCTTTTTTTATTCTTCTTTTGCTTTTTATTTTTAATTATTTATTTCTTTGCCTATTTGTTAATTTAACTAATTTTTTAACTTTCAACTTTTGCTTTTATGATTAATTTCTTATTATTTTATATATTTTCTTCATTTTTTCCTTCTAAATTAAATATTTTTCTTCAATATTTAAAAAGTTACAATTAAATTGGTCCAATTGGTGCATCAGGTTTAGGTTTTCGTTTACGAAAATGCCCAAATCTCTCAAATTTGGTACTTTATCTTAAGTAAAAATAGTTTATTAGTTTTTTATTGTGATATTTTTGAATATAAAAATGAATTTAAATCATATAAATTTTTTATTTTATTTATTAGATTTTATTTTATTTTATTTATTTTTCTTTTTTTATTCTTCTTGTGTTTTATTTCTTTGTCTGTCTATTTGCTAATTTAACTTATTTTTTCACTTTCAACTTTTGCTTTTATTATTAACTAATTTCTTATTATAGCCTGTCTCTTAATAAAATACTTAGCTTATTTGTATATAAACTTTAAAGTAAAATCAATATTTTTTGTTATATTGATGAATATTTACTACAAATAATTTATATCAAATAGAAAGCTTTTTAACAAACAATAAATTATATAGCTGTTTTTCCTGTGTGTAAAATATCACAAACCAACCATTAATGATTGATATCATGATTAGTGATATTTAAAATAAATGATTATAATATAAATTAAGAACATTTTTTTGTTCAACATCCTAATTAATTATTTTTTTAAATATTTAAATTTAAAATGCTTACAAAAATAGATCAAAATACAGGGAGATATTTTTTTTCAAATTTTGAGGAAAAATTCTTTTTACAGTAAATAAAAATTTTTTTTGAAGAAAAATTTTTTAAAAAGGCTAAAATTAATTAAAAATTTAATAGAAAAATCATAATGATTGATATAAATTAAAAATATGAATATTATTAATAAAATTCTATTATAAATTATTTATTTTAAAAAAACAGTGATCTTAAATCACTAAATTTTTGAATGGCATTTGGCTATAATTACATAATTCTCTTATTTTGTGATAAAGGGTTTCATTGTCTTTAAATTCAAGCAATATATTAAAAAACAGGCTAATTTTATATATTTTCTTCATTTTTTGCTTCTAACTTAAGTATTTTTTTCAATATTTAAAAAGGAAAAATGAAATCGGTGCAATTGGTGCATCAGGTATAGGTCTTAGTTTACGAAAATGTAATAATCTCTCAAATTTTGAACTTGATCTCAGGTAAAACTGTTTATTTGTTTTGGATTGTGAATTTTTGAATACAAAAATGAATTTAAAAAAATATAACACTTTTAATTTATTTATTAGATTTTTATTTGATTTATTTTTCTTTTATTTATTCTTCTTGTATTTTATTTCTTTTTCTATTTGCTAATTTACTCTTTTTTTAACTTTCAACTTTTGCTTTTATTATTAATTAATTAATTCTTTTCTCATTATTTCATATTTTTTTCTACTAACTAACAAATCAAATATATATTTTTTCTTCGACATTTACAAAGGGAAAATTAAATTGATGATGAAGGAGCATCAGGCTTAAGCTGTGCTTTAGCAAAGTACTCTAATCTCTCAAAATTGACACTTAATCTTGAGTAAAAACAGTTTATTTGTTTTGGATTGTGATATTTTTGAATATTAAAATGAATTTAAAAACAATAAAATTAACTATTTTAATTTATTTATTAGCTTTTTATTTTATTTTGTTTGTGTTTTTCTAATTTAGCTTATGTTTTAATTTTCAAATTTTGCTTGTATTATTAATTAATTCATTTCTTATTATTTCATATTTTCATTGATTTCTTCCTTCTAACTTATATTTTTTCTTCAATATTTAAAAAGTTCTAATTAAATTGGTGCAATTGGTGCATAAGGTTTAGGTTCTGATTTAGGAAAGTGCACTAATCTCTCAAATTTGACACTTCATCTTGAGTAAAAACAGTTTATTTGTTTTAGATTGTGATATTTTTGAATATTAAAATGAATTTAAAAACAATAAAATTAACTATTTTAATTTATTTATTAGCTTTTTATTTTATTTTGTTTGTGTTTTTCTAATTTAGCTTATGTTTTCATTTTCAAATTTTGCTTGTATTATTAATTAATTCATTTCTTATTATTTCATATTTTCATTGATTTCTTCCTTCTAACTTAAATTTTTTCTTCAATATTTAAAAAGTTCTAATTAAATTGGTGCAATTGGTGCATAAGGTTTAGGTTCTGATTTAGGAAAGTGCACTAATCTCTCAAATTTGACACTTCATCTTGAGTAAAAACAGTTTATTTGTTTTAGATTGTGATATTTATTTTTTAATAATAATAATAATGAATTTAAAACTATATATCTAAATCTTTTAATTTATTTATTCGCTTTTATTTGATTTATTTTTCTTTTTTAATTCTACTTGTATTTTTTTTTAAATGTTTATTTACTAATTTAGCTCATTTTTTCATTTTCAACTTTTCATTTTATTATTATTTAATTAATTCATTTTATAATTTTTTTTAATTTTTTCCTTCTAACTAACTAATTAACTATAATTTTTTACAATATTTAAAAAGGAAAAATAAAATTGGTGAAGAAGGTTCATTAGGCTTATGTTCTGGTCTAAGAAAGTGCAATAAACTCTCAAATTTGATAATTTATCTAGAGTAAAAACAGTTTATT